TTAATAAAAATGGTAGAGCCATTCTTGCTATTTGCCAACATATTAGTGTGACACGAATGCAACCTAAAGAGTCTGAAAAGCATAGCGTCTGTCTTTTTTGGAACACAAACCTCTTTTGCTCATGATTGTTTACGGTTATCATTAGTAAAACAGCTGTTAGGATCATCACATTTTGTTAAGGTTTGCTTTAAATTACTTGAAATCACTAGTGCGTGCAAAAAACGCTAAATTTAACAGTCTGAAGAGCCGTACCACATAAGCGCAATTAAATGCGTTGCATATCCTTTCAAGTAATTTATATAAGCACACACACTTCATATTTTTCAAAAGAAATAACCGTAGCTTACATTCCTAAAGAGTTGGTTGCTATCGCATCCTCAAGCCTCTAACCTGTATCCACAGGCTGTATCATTAAATCGGTACCATGGATTACTTGCTGGAATGTAGGCCTTAAGTATGCCATCGTAATTCACTAAAAGAGACAATTCAGAGGATGACAAAGATAGTTTGCAGGCTCTTCAGACGAATAAACCTTTAAAATAGCCCAGTGACAGTAAATTCACACGTGAAAACAGTTGGAGTCATGTGCTATATCTACAGAGAGCCGCAGCAAGCGATTTCTCCCGAAGTTAAGGTCGTGTATGCCAACCGTTTGCATAGTTCGAAAAAAAGGCTTCTGCAAACTAATTAATCTAGTCTTTTACTTTCACGCCTTATCTAAGCAACAATATTGGGTTTGCACCGAGTATCTGCCTACTACTAATGACGGAATCTTGTATTTGTGGAGTTACAAAATAAGAATAGGTGGCTGTTTGTAAGATGCATTAGCATGCCATGAAATCTGCGTCAATATCCTTTAGCATCAGTGCTATTTAATTTAACAGCTTTCGTTTTTTTTCTATGCTTTATTACCACATTATTTTCATCTTGACATTTCGACACCCCCCAATCTCTATTTTCTCTGCCCTAAAGCCTATCGTTAAAAGGAGAAAAAGGGAGTGCCATTAATAACGCCATCGCAACTTGCCTGCCGGAAGTATATCCAGGATTTTAGATTCACACCAAATATACAAGTTTACCACTTTCATCAAATATGCATTGCTAAACAATGCGGTTAAAGGTACCTCATTCCCGAATACGACCAATGGAAATTCTACTCCGATATATTTTCATCACTCAAGGATGACAATAAGCCCATGCTTGCGTCCAGGTGAAGTGGTTGTAAACTACTCATTATCCTGAAGAGAAGTGAAGCTGCTGTGGAATATTGCCCTGATTTTGAATTAAAATGCCTCAATATTTACTTAAGCACCTTACTCAAAATCGAAGTTACTAGTTAGAATTGCACTTTGCCTTATGTACATACGCATTAACTGGGTGAGTTATAATTGATAAGCCGCAAGTATTAACCGACGCGATTTAGTCGCTCAAGTACTTCAGTTTCATTACGATGTGTTGGCGGACTTAAAATGGAGACTTGAGAATAAATGGGATTGAAAGATCTGTTAGTCTTAAAGGATGAGCGAACTAGAACTGGCAGCAATGATGTTTGAAAAGAGGAGTCCTATACTTGGAATAGATTAATGCACCATTTCCATTGATGCGATTCTGTTGTAGGTGAGCCCCAAATCCATCCCTTCACATCTAACTTGCAGGCCTTATAAAGTAAAGGCAGCAGATGAGTGGGGTAGCCCACAAATAAACTCACATTCCCCATCTCTGACCTTTGCTTTACACACACTCTCCTCCCTCCTTTCCACATCGAGCTGATGCGTGATAGTTTGAATCTACTTCGATTGTGAAGTCCTAATTAGATCCAATCGGTTTGGAGTAGTTGTGACTCAAAGCTGAAATAATTACCCGCTCGTCTTAGTTTACTTCAGTCATGGAGATAAGGGCCGTCTGGACTCGTATTCTGCAGGATCGTGTTAGAGTAGCCTCATGGAATGGGTAGGTAGGTATTTGGGTGTGTGGATGAGTCCTGACTATGTTAGTTGAGTTGGGTAGAATTAATTTGGGATCTATAACGAGGTGTGCTGAGAGGTGTTGCTGATAGGTATATTTTTGAGATTTGCGCTACCGAAAGTACATTTACAGGCAGTTAGTCAAGACAGAGTAAAGATTATTCCTCTTTTAAACGGGACCTGCAATAACTCATGACTTGGATGACTTTGTATCATATTTGGAATTTCCTGTAGTGCTATGATACGCATCAGGGTAAAATACGTAGATGCACTACATAGCGTGAGTTAGCGGACTTAAAATGACGACTTGAGAATGAATGGGATTGAAAGGACCGTTATTCTCATAGTATGAGCCAACTGGAACTGTTAGCACTGTTGTTTGGAAAGAGATGTATTGTATTCAGAGCAGGTAGCATTTTAGATGGAAAAGTGAATAGTCAAATGCATGTCATTCTTCCTTGTAAGGATTAAAGGCATTCTATTGACAACCGCTTCGAATTGAAGGCCATTAGGGACATTAACATGCACGAGGGCTTTGATATGTCTATAGAACCGCCTAAAAGTAACTTCCTTCCAATTTTTGACATCGCCAATACGATTTAGAGTTCCGCTACGATTCAAAGAAGTAAGACACATTTGATTTCATGGTCAAAAGGTATGAAAACAGTAATTACTATTAATGGTGGCCATCTAAAGCCCCTAGTCCAACTTTGATTCTCTGTGTTCTTCCATCGCTCATTGCTTACTACAGCCTCGTTTCTCTTTTCGATAAATGCCTTTCAAAACCACTATCAGGACATAACAATGCTGCGGCGTATCGACAGTCAACTTCATCTTTTAGAAAGATTAATGGCAACATGGGAAGGGTTTACAGAGACGGGGGGCAGGATTCACCGTGATCAATTTCCACCATTTCCCTTGTCATCTTGCCAGTACACTCATTCGCTCGCTGTCGTTTCACTCTTAGTCCAAAAATCGGGCAGGAGGCCGGCCAGTAAATTCAAATGACCTGCATCGAGGCGACAATAAAATAAAGGCAACGGCCAATATTGAATAGGCCTTTATGATGACAAAGATCCATTCGTCTATAGGGCCGCTACTGCGAGACAATCTTCGCTGAATCACCGCAACGACAGTTACGTAGTTATAAACGTCACTATGACAGGTGTACTGGTATTCAGTTTAAGATTTGAGGCAATCACTGACCTTAATGAATGACCTTCATGAGTGACGCCGACTGCTCAATGGGTAATCCAGCTCGATTTTCCGACCTTCTAGACTAATTCTCCATTTTCTCTCGTTTTGCTTCGTCCTTACTCGTCTGCATAATGTGCACTACCAGGCAAGGCAAGGTCAGAGTCATTGAAACTAGTAAGAATACGTGGGAATGTTAAGCATTTTGGAATTCCACCAATCCAATTTGATAACTATCGCAACAATCGGGATATCGGCTTACTAGCAGGAAATGTGAAGATTAATTGACATTAATTTGCTGAGTTCATTTGTCACCAATTCACAACGGTGCATTGTACTCACTGATTTTAGTAGGATGTTGCGTTTACAGAACGAACCAATGCATCACAATAAGGACTGCAGCCATTCTTTCTGCAAGAGATCAGTCATTAGCGATTTATGCTATACTAGAAGTACTGGTAGCAATTGAGATGGTATTTTACAAATGGTGTTGTGTCGTGTAGTTATGCATTCAGACAGTAATTCCACCTGTACAAGGCCGAGATGAAAACTTACTTCATTGTCCACTCTCGCTAAGAACACGCTTTCTGTGAGATTTGGCAGTTATCTATTGGCTAATTTAGGTATTTGTTTAAACCGATAGCTGATATGGTACTCCTTTACAAACCGTTCCAGGCATAGACGAAATAAATGAAACCTCATGGGGAGCATTAATCCATTCTACGCTCCACCATAAAGACAAAGATTTTGACACAACAGTTGGGTGGGCGTTAATACTATCTAATATGCCACCAGCATACTTGCTAATCCAGAATGGAGGTGAGAACTTAATGACGAAAAAGTGTGTAAATTGTGACGGTTACATCCCACGAGATTCCTTTCACCACATGCTTGCCTTCGTTGGGATACTACATTTAGAGACCATTGAAGCACTTTTTTTCTTGGAAGAAATGCCAGTATATTTGTTTACAGGTGTTTCGTCTTCTTGTCGAAACAAGAAAATAACGTAGTCCTAACATTTTGACCAGTCAAGCCTCCTGTGTATAATGTGACACTCAGCTCTCGTGGGATTCCTTTCTCCGCATACCTCACTGCTGTAGAGTACTATATTTTGAGACCTTAGCAGCACAATCATTTCTTGGACGACTCCTCAGCTTATTATGTGATTCGCTTCCAGGCAAACACTATCTGGCCAAAATTTCTAAATTCTGGGAACGTCTTGTCTCCAGTTGACCAAAGGTACACAGACATAGCCATTCCTTTCCTCCCTCAAGCTTGGTTCATAGCTGCCTGTCGATTCTGCTTGTGCTTGGCTAACGACATTAACAGAGCCAGTCATAAGTAGAACTAGGGCAACTAATAGCAAGGAAGAAAAGAAGAACGAGGATAAAAATGAGGCACTGTTGACATAGCAGAGAGTGCATATCAGGAACGATCACAAGTGGGCTGTGGTGAAGCACTTGGTAGCAGATTTTCAAGTCGTTCTGCTGAGTTTAATCAAATTTACTGACTTTTTGGGGATGCCATTTTACTTGCCATTTATTACCGAAGGAGCGCTCAATTTCTGTTCCATTTCAGTTGGCCTCTCTGACTGTAGCATTGTTTGGACTCTAACTAAAAGCCTCGAAATCTATAGTTTAACAGCTACTGTCGAAGATTTTCGACCAATTTAATATTGGTGACGAAGATTTACGCCAGTTGGCATTTTTTTTATCACCAAAAACGCTGGTAGATGATACCCTAAGTCATGCAATGCTACTTCGGTATTTACCAGTGCTTTTGCAATGACAGAATCAGGCAATGACTTATCTTATGCAGATGGTGTAGCTGTTAGTCCTTGTTATGGTTGAACTGGTGCTAGCAGCTCTCTGTCTCATCGGGTACATTTCTTCTTGCTGCAGCCGTGATATACTACTGGAGATTGTGAGTAGACTTAGGGGGGATGAATTAGTAACAAGTGATGCCATCAAATTACTAACAAAGGTTTCTTCTCTTTTCCTACTAGTATGCCGTCATTCTGATTATTCTTCTTGTCACGCAAATCATCGCTGTTGCAGTACTTTCCTCCCATCTAAACAGAATTAGTAGTTAGCTTGTCAAAATTAATACAATCACTACCCAAGTCATTCTCGGGGTCATTCGCCAAAGGAGACATGTTAAGAGCCTTTAGAAATTTGTTAATGGGAAAGAAGTTAATTTCCTTTTTTGCCTAAAACGACTCTGACTAAATGCCTGTGCAATTTCTACATTCTATGGCAGACGAAATCGTTCTCCTGCACCGTGAATGGCTACGGTGATTTTCGTAAGTACAACCTTTACAATGCTGCAATATGACGGCCATTTCTTGTGATTCTAAGACAGCCCAGAGTGTCAGTGTGCCGGGATGCAGAGACAAAATTGTCAAATTTGCCGCAGACAATATGATGACTTTTATGTATATCTCTATTGCCGCTATTCTGCTGGAGGTGAGTTCTAGTGCCATGCTATGCTCTGCCAGTAAATGGGGTGATTTTGGATCTGTCTGTGAAACCCACCTTGTTTACATTTTAGGGCGCACTCATCGTAATTGTGATGCTCTTAATTTTCTTGTAAACAAATGGTGTAGGCAAATGGAGATCATGGCAAATATTAACAGAACCCATATATCTACTTCCATTACCTGTTTTACGCCCACAACTTTCCACTATTTTTCTCATAATCCAGAATTACCCTGTTTTCTGTGTTGCTCTGTTCTCTCCTTGACTATGTTGGTGAATATAGGGATGGCGTTTGCTTCTATTCTGGGTGCTTTATTTGATACAATGCTTTTGAAGAGGTTGGACCGCAAATCTACCTCCACCACTCAATCACTGTGAATAAAAATAAATGGGTTTATCTGAGACATCAGATCTTGTATTCCACAAGACTGCGTTTGAGGAGTTCACTGCACAAGTGGGTGGATAGATGATTAGGTGGGAAGGCAGGTGTGCGGATGAGTGGTTAGTAGAGATGGTGCGGACAGCACATTCGACTAATTGGCGGAATGAACAGGAAGAGAAGGTATGAATTAATTTGGCATTGGACAGAAATAAATTAGCCTACATGGGTGGTCAGGAACACAAAGGGATTTATAAAGGACCATAGTGAAGGCAGAAGACGATTTTTCCTTTCTTAAGTTAGGCCCGCAATCGATTGCCATTTGAGAAACATTTTTGCTTGCTTCAAAATGTCATGTTATGACCAGTTGCATCACATTCGAAGCGGCCACTGGTACTTTGAATCATGTTGGGGTTAAGCATGTCGGAGGGACCACCGCGTATGCAGACGGTGACTTACAGTTTTGACCTAAGAATGCTCAAGGTAAATGTCTTTAGATTTTCACAATATAGGCAACATTTTCGCTTGTACTGTCACCCATACTGATTGGATGGAGGAGATCGGCCCATGGGATCAGCGCCATTCCTACTGGTTGGATGGAGGGATGTGTGCAGGTCCTTCTCCATCCTTTGGTCAAATTCGCTAACTTCCTGTAAGTTGTCATAATTAAATTGGAAATTGGAATCGAGATTCAACTGTATAATATCTTACAAAGGCTATAAAACAAGGGCCATCTTTGCAAATTTTAAGCACAAAATAAGTACTCACTGTTTTTACTACTACTTTCGAATTGATGGTGCTTTTCGGCCATCACGATGCAGCAATGAAGTGACCAGTAAAGGAGGCGACTGCCGATGCCTGCTAGCTTCTTCACCACAATCGGTGAACATAGACATGTAGATTTAAGAGCTCTGTATGGGTTTCTCTATTTCTGAGTTTGGCAGGCTCGACAGGATCCAATTCTACGTGCATGGATAGGTAACAGTTTGCCACTTCCCACCAACCCTTTGATGAAAAACCTCCAGAATTTGCCAATTCCTAAACACTGCATCACATGTAAACGCTGAATGCATGCATGCATGCATGAAATTGTATCTGTCATACTTGCGATGGAATGCCATTCAAATGCTACCTCGTATGTTTTCACTGAAAGTAAGAAGAATGGGTAGGTTTGACTGATTTGGCAGCAAAGAACACTGCGAATGGGCACCATGTGATATAATCACAAGTATGACAGGTCATCCACCCATGCAAAAGTGCTCCAAGTAAAAAACAGGCGTTGGATTGTCGATTAGATGTCAAACAGGAAATTAACCAATGACATTTTCAGGTACCCACTTCTCCACTTTGATTGGTCTCTTCACTACCTGAAATGTGCGCAGTCGCAGTGGGAAGGTGAATAGCATTGGCTTAAGAGGAGTTTGCGCTGACTTTAAATTTACCTTTTGTTCATCGTCAGTTAGCATTTCATAGGTCAATCCAGAGAATCGACTGAGGTGAGCACCTCTCTTATTCCGATGTAATCGGAATGCTAATGCGAGTTCCTCGCTCTTCTACCACATACTCCTTTCCACATCTGTCTGCCTGGATGGCTGAATGGCTAGGTGGATGAATAAAATAAAGGACGGTTGGATACGAGATGGATGTGTGATGCCGAAGATACTTCTTGCCTTGTCTTATAGCTCCTGATTTGCCAATATTACCTCCAGAGAGCCAATATTTAAGGTGTGCTTTTTCTCAGAGGTGGAATAGATTTAAAATCACCAATTCTTTCTTTTTTCCCTTGTCAGGTTGTCAAATTTGGTGGACCAAAAGACTGTCATTGACCCCTCATCAACCCAGGGCGGTGTCATGTGTACGGATGATTAGGCTTTGGCACCCCTTTTTCGCTTTATCCGTCTTCAGGGAGGGAAAAACTTTGAATACGATCAGGCAACAAGTGTGGATGTTTAAGTACGTGAACGGCTGTGAATAGCAGGTGACTGTGAGGCATTTGAGCCACTCGTCAATCGGTTCTTCCAGTTTGAGACGTTCGCAATAACGTCTGACTCTTCCTGCGTTGACCACGTAATCTTGTCATCACATTTGAACCCCTTCACATGGTTGCAACGCAGATCGAAGATAAACAATTGAAACCGTCCTGAGAAAGTGGATGGATTAGTCAATCAGTCGGGACAACTTTATTTTCTTGCTTTACAGAGCAACAAACGAGCTGCAGTCAAGGGCTGCGTCACAACACACTTATGAGAAGACCTGGTTATTATTTTCTGGTATGTCAGTGATGCCCCATTCTTGTCCTCGTCCTCCTTTTCGCCTTGCTGTCAGTGATATTAGTCAATCACAAGAACAATCGACGGGCGTTTACAAACCAAGATAGAGATCGGAATGAGAGGGCTATGGTTGAGTTCATTTGGCCATCTGAACACATAACATTCTATGGATTTCAAAATGGTAACTAGATAGTGGTTGTATGAAACGGGATCACTTTTTGTGCCAGCATTTCTTTCAGGGAATGATTGTACTGTCAGGGACTAAAAACATAACATTTAAACTCAGAGAGGGATGTGCTAAAAGGAGCGTCACATCATGCGTAGGTGACTGAACTACTCAATATATCGGAGTAAATTAATTTTTCTCTTTTCGACAGGGTAACAAAACACCTGCAACTAAATGTACTGGCAATGTCTCCCCGAACGGAATGTGCTCTAGGGGTCTCTGAATGTAGTATTACAAAGGGGGCAGGTATGCTGTAAAAGGAATTTTACAAGATGTAACAGTCATATTTTTTGCAGATCGAAAACCTTCTTGTCATGGAACTTTTGCGTCGTTGAATCCTCAACTTCAATCCTGTTTAGCGAGCGTGTTGATGGGATAGTGGGTGGAATCGATGTACGCTCAATTGCTAGGTCAACTTTATTGTTTTAGTAGTGGGTCGTGGAATAAATTAAAGCTCTCCTTGAGGTTTCATTTATTTCATCTCTGTTTGGAACGGTTTGCAAAAGAATACCATGTCACTAATCAGTTACAACAAAGGCCTGATGTAACAAATAGACTACTGCGAAATCTTTACTGAAAGTGTTCCTCTAACAGACGGTTGACAATAAAGCAAATTTTTACTTTAGCCTCGTGCGGATTACCTTACTGTCTGAATGCATAACTACTCGACACACCACCGTCCATATAATACCATCTAATTGCTATCAGTACTTCCAATTTAAAGCAAATCGGCAATGGCTGATCTTTTTTAGAAAGAATGGTTGCAATCCCTATTGTGATGCATTAGCTAGTTTTTTAAACGTAAAATACTAGTAGATTCAGTGAGTAAAATGTGCGGTTGTGGTTTGGTGATAAATGAACTCGGTAAATTAATGACAAATTTCCTTTTCTTTTCTACGAATATACCACTATTTCGAATGTTGGAACTGTCATAGAATCCATCGGTGATTTATCACTCTTGCATACTGCTAACATTGTCAAATTAACTTATAAACAGCGAAAGTGATACTACAAAGAAAGTAGGGAAGGGTAAATGCCAAGAGCTGTCTGTAATGTAATAGTGATGACAAGCAAATAAACGGAGTTCAATTTCCTTCTTTCGCAATAAATGCCATTAACTAAGTGCGGACAGCAATCTTGTACTCCCCAACAGGCAGATTCTATATACCTCACCATGGATGGCCATGAGGATTTCAGTATTATTAAAAAAGGCAAAACGCTGCCTAAATCATGCTGCAATAAAGCGTCGGTTCTTGTGAATTTTTAGAAGGCAAAATCGCTAATGTGAATGGATGCAGTGACAAAATTGTCAAAATTATCGCAGACTGTACGAAGCTTACCACGTCTGTGCCCAATGGTATGATTATGTTGCAAGTGAACCCCAAATTCATCCCTTCACATCCAACTTGCAGGCCACTTCAATCGTATTTGTGATGCATGTGTCCTGCTTGTAAACAAATAGTGGAGCTCAATGGGTGATTGAGACAGCCCACAAATGAGCCAACATTCCGCAGCTCCGACCTTTATTTCACAAATGCCACCATCCACCCATTCCACATTGAGCTGAAGTGTGATGCTTCAAAATTCTAATTCAATCGTGAAATCTCAATTCGATGCAATCGGTTGGGAGTAATTGTGGCCCAGAGCCACACTGAGCTCCTGCTTGTTTAATTTGACCTCATTTTACTGCCGCAAAAAATTGTTTTTCTTGATTTGGCATTCTAAAGTTTGTTCTCTGACATTAATTTCCCAGATGTTCCTGGAAGTACCTTGACTTGCAATCCCTTGGAATTTGACTCCATGGCTAATGTCACATTCGAACACATGTCCATGTGATTACGCCAGGATCAGGGCGACCAGATATTTTGCACACACACGAAAATAAATTTAAGCTGGTGTCCAGACACACACTCATGCAAATTTGCGTTCTGGTTTTTCAAACTTTGGCCGCATTATTGATAACTCGATTACTCAAGCTGGATGTGTTTATCGCCCATGCAGCCACAGGTTTTGAAAAAAATTGTCTCTACACCCGCCTATGCTAAATTGTGACGTTTGAGTTCAAGTGCTTTTGTCTGGCAGGTTTAGTTTGATGTCAACATATACTCCAGTCTTTCAATCATGCTAACAGACTACAATCCACTAAGCTGCTTTAATCTGTCCTAGTAGCATATTTTCTGCTTCCACATCCTTTTTTCAACAGAAGCATAAAGCCTAGCATTATGAGTTGAAAAGGGTTGCAGTTTGATAAGCAAGAAGAAAGGTAAGTAAATCCCACCAAGTGACTTCAGATTGTTGGTCGATAGCGAGCAAAGTGCTTGGTCAAATATGGCATTTTGGATCTCCTTCCATTGCTACAATTAATAAAAATGGTAGAGCCATTCTTGCTATTTGCCAACATATTAGTGTGACACGAATGCAACCTAAAGAGTCTGAAAAGCATAGCGTCTGTCTTTTTTGGAACACAAACCTCTTTTGCTCATGATTGTTTACGGTTATCATTAGTAAAACAGCTGTTAGGATCATCACATTTTGTTAAGGTTTGCTTTAAATTACTTGAAATCACTAGTGCGTGCAAAAAACGCTAAATTTAACAGTCTGAAGAGCCGTACCACATAAGCGCAATTAAATGCGTTGCATATCCTTTCAAGTAATTTATATAAGCACACACACTTCATATTTTTCAAAAGAAATAACCGTAGCTTACATTCCTAAAGAGTTGGTTGCTATCGCATCCTCAAGCCTCTAACCTGTATCCACAGGCTGTATCATTAAATCGGTACCATGGATTACTTGCTGGAATGTAGGCCTTAAGTATGCCATCGTAATTCACTAAAAGAGACAATTCAGAGGATGACAAAGATAGTTTGCAGGCTCTTCAGACGAATAAACCTTTAAAATAGCCCAGTGACAGTAAATTCACACGTGAAAACAGTTGGAGTCATGTGCTATATCTACAGAGAGCCGCAGCAAGCGATTTCTCCCGAAGTTAAGGTCGTGTATGCCAACCGTTTGCATAGTTCGAAAAAAAGGCTTCTGCAAACTAATTAATCTAGTCTTTTACTTTCACGCCTTATCTAAGCAACAATATTGGGTTTGCACCGAGTATCTGCCTACTACTAATGACGGAATCTTGTATTTGTGGAGTTACAAAATAAGAATAGGTGGCTGTTTGTAAGATGCATTAGCATGCCATGAAATCTGCGTCAATATCCTTTAGCATCAGTGCTATTTAATTTAACAGCTTTCGTTTTTTTTCTATGCTTTATTACCACATTATTTTCATCTTGACATTTCGACACCCCCCAATCTCTATTTTCTCTGCCCTAAAGCCTATCGTTAAAAGGAGAAAAAGGGAGTGCCATTAATAACGCCATCGCAACTTGCCTGCCGGAAGTATATCCAGGATTTTAGATTCACACCAAATATACAAGTTTACCACTTTCATCAAATATGCATTGCTAAACAATGCGGTTAAAGGTACCTCATTCCCGAATACGACCAATGGAAATTCTACTCCGATATATTTTCATCACTCAAGGATGACAATAAGCCCATGCTTGCGTCCAGGTGAAGTGGTTGTAAACTACTCATTATCCTGAAGAGAAGTGAAGCTGCTGTGGAATATTGCCCTGATTTTGAATTAAAATGCCTCAATATTTACTTAAGCACCTTACTCAAAATCGAAGTTACTAGTTAGAATTGCACTTTGCCTTATGTACATACGCATTAACTGGGTGAGTTATAATTGATAAGCCGCAAGTATTAACCGACGCGATTTAGTCGCTCAAGTACTTCAGTTTCATTACGATGTGTTGGCGGACTTAAAATGGAGACTTGAGAATAAATGGGATTGAAAGATCTGTTAGTCTTAAAGGATGAGCGAACTAGAACTGGCAGCAATGATGTTTGAAAAGAGGAGTCCTATACTTGGAATAGATTAATGCACCATTTCCATTGATGCGATTCTGTTGTAGGTGAGCCCCAAATCCATCCCTTCACATCTAACTTGCAGGCCTTATAAAGTAAAGGCAGCAGATGAGTGGGGTAGCCCACAAATAAACTCACATTCCCCATCTCTGACCTTTGCTTTACACACACTCTCCTCCCTCCTTTCCACATCGAGCTGATGCGTGATAGTTTGAATCTACTTCGATTGTGAAGTCCTAATTAGATCCAATCGGTTTGGAGTAGTTGTGACTCAAAGCTGAAATAATTACCCGCTCGTCTTAGTTTACTTCAGTCATGGAGATAAGGGCCGTCTGGACTCGTATTCTGCAGGATCGTGTTAGAGTAGCCTCATGGAATGGGTAGGTAGGTATTTGGGTGTGTGGATGAGTCCTGACTATGTTAGTTGAGTTGGGTAGAATTAA